TACAATTTCAGCCCCCAAAACTCTTTCCAGAAGATGCAAAGGGTGTTTTTTTGCACAGCTCTTGCAGTGCTGAGAGTCACCAGCAYAGAGTCACCAGCACTAGAAGTGACTTGTCAACTTATCAAATGCACGATTTTTTTGGCAGATAARTTCATGTTTTTGCAATTCTTGTGGGATTTTGATCTAGTCTGGATAATTTATAATCAAATTTTAAATAATTATGTACAATTTATGTGGAAGATGGATATATTTCAACTGTTTTCAGCATTCTTCTGAATGCTCCATGTTTTCAGAGAGCATATAAAACTATTCAAGTTACTGAAGGTAACTTCAGTGAAGAATTGAAAGCCTGCTGCCATCACCTTGTACACTATACAGGGGACTTAAAAAAAGCCACAATAGTATGAAGAAGATGGGAGTTTCTCCAGTCAGGAAGTTTATGTAAAGGAAAACAGCTACAATGTGAAATGTGAAAGCAACACTGAGTTTTTTAAGAAGGTGCTGAGGTTTCTTTTCAGATGAGCTGTCCCAGGAGTTAGWCTTGGACATGGTTCCTTCCTCACTTCATTTCTGTTTCTTTTGATCTTCCTGTCCTTAAGCTTCCAGTTTACTTCCACACAGATAAATTCTCTTCACAATATTTCATATATAAAGTACATAACACAGCTGTGGAACAGTATTTACAGCCGTCCAGATGAAGGAGAGCGAGATGGCCGTGATGGAAGAGCTGATTCACTGATTGAGGCTTRCACTGGAGTAACCTCATTGAAATAAGGAATTACACTCTTCTAAAACCAAGAGTTGGGTCAGGCTCAGCTGAATGATGGACTTTTGCATTCATTCAGAAGATTAAATGTAGTCCCCCACGAGTGCCTATTTTTCAGCTGAGTCCTGCACACCTCACAAGGGCAAAACATCCACTGCAATTATGAGCAACATGATCCCAGAACTGGATACTGAAGGACTGGACTGCATGGCCCCCCAGAATTTCAGAAAATACTGCCAAACTGGACATCAACTATCTCCCTAATGACTTTATGAACTCAGCTCCTGTGGAAACTTTGCTTTTATAAAGTTGATGGGATGAGGGACCTACATACAAATACTAAATTTACGTTAAGGGTACTAAATTTGGCTTAAGTGGAATATGCTTTTCATTTCTCCTGATTCAATTGAGTATTTTATTGCAATTCTTCTTTCTTTATTAGTGGGAAAGCAAATCGGTGTGTTTTAAAWTTTTTTCACACTGTTGTAAGTATAAACTTCCTGAAGATTTTAGCCTGTTTGCAAGAGATTGAGTAAAATAAAGATTTTTTTTTTTTAGGTCAACATTTTCTTCTGGCAGACTGAGCCTGAAGTGCACTTTATTTCCCTTTAATTTAACAGCTCCAGCAGCTTTTCCAGTTAAATCGACTGTTCATTATTGAGCCCATTTATGAAGGGCTGTGCAGTGCAGTTTAATGAATCCCTGGCACAAAGCTCCCTTTCAGTGTAGGGAAAGAATAGCAGCCTATTTAGGTCCTGTAGGGCTGTATGTCAAAGGCTGCCTATAATACTTGTCAGGGAAGGGCAGAAATTCCCACTGATATAAGAATGTGCAAGAAATCAACTTTCACAACCAACTCGCCGATTAAGACGCGATCAGGAAATGAGTCTGCGGGTTGGGAGCGGTGACACCTGTTTGGGCAGCCAGATTTTCCCATAACTCGATAACCATATGGGCCATACACTCAGGAAGGAAAAAAAAAAAGCCTTCCCTCCCCTGTCGCAGAGATTTTCTTACTTTCAYGCTGCCTTCCTGATGCCACGATGAAAGGGAAATGGGTGTTGGGAATTGTGAGGTTTGGGCTCAGAGCTGCATTTGGTTTGCCTTTTGTAGGGGAAGGTTTTGCTAGTGGTCACAGGATCATGGAACAGTTTGGGGTGGAAGGGACTGTAAAGATCATCTGGTTCCAACTCCCTGCAGAAAGCAAGGACATCTTCAAGTAGACCAGGTTGCTCAAAGCCCCATCCAGCCTGGCCTTGAACACTTCCAGGGAAGGGGAATCAGCCRCCTCTCTGGGCAACCTGTGCCAGCGTTTCACCACTCTCATCATAAAACWTTTCTTCCTTAAATCAGCCTGAATCTACTTCCTTTAAGTGATGAGGCAGAGCATGAGATGTTTCCTCCATGCTGAATCCCAGTGGGATCCTGGCCCTGCGTGGTGAAGTGTTTACCCTGGAGTGGGACACATGAGCACCAGGAGGGCAGACAGARCTTCTGCAACTGGCTCCAGTGAGGAGCTGCTCCACATCCATGTGRCACAATCCTTGACCATGCAAGGCTTCCTTGCCTGCGGAAACTGCTCTCTCCTTTGTGTCCTGCTTGATCTGCAAGGATAACAAACTGTTCTTCTTGCAAAGGGCTTGACTGTGTGTACATSAGCTCAATCTATGCCTGTGCAAAGCATTAGAGATCATCAGAGCATGTCCCCAGTCCCTTTGATTCTCAGGGTGATGGTGTTGTGGTACTTTAAAAGAGCCAAGCTCTCAGAAGTCCTGGTTTAATCCCCAGAGGTGGGTGAGATGCTGCTCCCTATAATGAGCAAGAAAGTGAACAAAACCAGATATATTTCCTACGTGAAAGTGGGCAAGAAAACAGCAGTAGAACCCCTGGAGTCCCTTAGTGAGCACTGTGTGGGATGAAGGTCTGGGGTGGTGGAAGCAATTCCACAGCCTTCACTCACCTCAGTCTGATGGGGAAAAAGTGGAAAGAAAAGGACATCTGGTCCAAAATTTTGCCGGGAGTTGGGGCTATTTTGTGGGTCTAATCCCAGGAYTTTCTGGACATTAGACCCTGTCAGTGAGCTGATGGGGACAGCTYGGCCTGAGGGTCATCCTGAGTGGGCTGAGCATCAGCACCCTGAAAGAGCACAGGCAGAAGACAAGCAGGCTCATACAGCTGCTGGAAAGAGAGATGTTTTGCAGGAATAACCAAACTCCTATTTCCTTGGAAAAAAAATTAAGTTTCTTTACAAGTTGTTGAGATCATGTGGCTTAGCAAATTTCCCTCGGGGCATTGCCCAACTTGGGGTAATCAGCTCTGCCTGAGAGAACACGGAGAATAAGCATGTTTAATGCAATTATGAAGGCTTTCTAAATCTCCAGATCTGGTTGAGAATATGTAAATTYGGCTGCTTAGCATAACTGAATGAAAACTTTCTTTTGCATGCCTGACAATTGTTTTAATACTCTCCAAGTTTTAGGAGGTAATAAAGTCTCCCACTAAACCGTAGCTGAGCTCTCAAAGCTATTTAATTGAATGAATTCAGCCTTACAGAAGAGAAGCTAGGGCTTTCAGCTCTTTTTTATCTGAGCCACCGGATATTTAGCCACTCTGCATATAATACCACCCAGACTCATTAACAAACCCTTTAGACAGGCTATGGAATATTGCTGCCACAACGCTGGAGCGGATACCAATGTGAGGACAACTTGGTTGCYGCTCTRCTTGAATMATTTTGTGTTGCTCAGGTAAGAAAMAGTCCCCGACTGTCTGCACATCCAGTGAAGGACAGTGGCCCCCACTTCCTAGACCCATGTGCAGTCTGAAGTGGCCTCACAGCAGATGCAATGCTATCTAGTGCAGCAGACAGGGGATATATATGTTGTTCTTTACATTTGCCCATCAATAAGGGAGCTGGGAGCAGGCTGCAAAGCTTGACAGGGCTTGACAGGGCCTGAGGGTAACAGCTCGGGTTGCTAATCCCTATCAGTTGTGCTCGAGCTAAGTAGTTTAAATCCACCTTCTATGTAGACATACTCATTCTGACATGGAGAAACACACAAACTTCCCAGAGCCCTCTRCCTACCAGGGCTTTTTTGGCTTCAATTACACAGTTGCACTCGGAGCCAGTCTCCAGATAAGAGGCTCTGGGAGACTCCAGCTGAGCAAGTTTTGCAAAGGAGACCCAGTCCAGATGTGCTGGCACCAGAGCCAAGGCTGTGACTGGAACCGCAAGGCTTTGCCTGGTGGTGCTGGGACCCTGCTGAGACTTGCTGACATGCTGGTGAGAGATCAAAAAAATCAGCATTTTTATTTTGTAGAGGATACTGAGCCTTCTTTCCCTCTCATGAAATATGTGCGTTCTCCTTTTTTCTCCTTGCAATACTTGCTTTGCATTTAACAAGTGTTTGGAACCACAGGGAGGTGAATTTGACTGTTTTTTTCCATTTCACTACTAATTACAGTCCTAGGAGTCTGTTTCACTTTCCTTCTGCGGAGTTTTGCTTTCTGTTTTTTCCTTCCAATACAAAACTGCTGCATTTCGAATGAATTGATGAGAGACCATGAAAGCCCACTTTATTTCGTTCAAAATGGATCTTCATTCAAATTTGGACATATAAAATCACTGAACATAAATCTGAGGTTGGGTTGAGGGTTATTCTGCATCAATGTAAGAGTTTTCTGAAGTAAAATTAAAATACCTTTTCCCCACAGAAAAGAAAGTTCCTTCAGCAGCTATTACCAGTACTTTAAGTGGCCACTTCACTAATTTTTTTGCCTTCCATATGGAAGATTTCTACTGCTGCTTCACTAAATCCATGCAAGATCATAAACAAGGTGGTCTAGTGGAAGATGTCCCTGCCCACTGTACGGGAATTGGAACAGATGATCTTTAAAGTCCCTTCCAACCCAAACTATTCCATGATTCTGTGACTTTAACTGAATGCAYCCCAGTAATTTGAAATCTCTACTGGATCACAGCTCTGGATTTTCTTAGGACTTGACTAGGAACAGACAATATGCCATGTAATGTGAATAGCAATGAGCTTGGAAAAGAGCATCCTTTACAAATCARTTTAAATGTGTGTATCCTGGCGGCTGTCAGAGCAGGAGCACGTCCCCATGCCCATGCACCCAGAGCCGTGCAAGAGCCGGGCCTGACCCCGGACACAGAACATGTTTGCTGCCACCTGAGCAGCTGCAGGAGGGGGGACGAGACTGAAGGGGTCTGGAGGATGCTGTGCACGTGCTCCGGGGTGACTGTGTGTTTGGTCGGGGGATGCCTGTGTATCTGGTCCCGAAGGCTGTGTACCCGTTCGGGGCGCGTGTGCRCACCTGTCCCGCGGGTTCGTGTATCTGTCCCGGGGGTGTGTGTCCAAGCGCCGGGGGTGATGCTCGTCCCGCCCCGCCGCCGCTGATGTTCCCGCCGGGGTCGGTGAGTGGGTGGGTGCAGCCAGCCCGGCCCCCGGGCTCCCGGCAGGGAGGCGGGAAGGGCCGGGGCCAGCCCCGCTCTGATCCCTCCTCCTGCTCCTTCCCCGCCCGCCGCCTTTTCCCCGCTGTCGCCTCGGCCGCCGCCGCTCACCCGGCGCATCCCAGCGGAGCCCGTCAGAACTCGGGGCGGCGGCGTTCGCCGCCGGCCATGGCCGTGCCCGCCGCGCTGCTCAGCCCSCACCACCTCCTTTCCTTCTGCTTCCCCGCCGCCGGCGGGCTCCTGGGCTATGCCGACCTGGAGAAGGGCTACGAAGGCGGCGGCGGCGACGCGGGGGACTTTAGAGAAGCCACCCGGGACCTGCTGAGCTTCATCGACTCGGCTTCCAGCAACATCAAGCTGGCGCTGGACCGGCCGGTGAAGTCTCGGCGGAAGGTGAACCATAGGAAGTACCTGCAGAAGCAGATCAAGCGCTG